CTCCCATTGCAATGAGACCACGTCGTGGGCAATGCCAATCCTTGCGAGGCATAGCCGGACTAGACTGCACACAACCTGGAATGGTGATGCTCGAACACGTCCAGGTCCTCAGAGCCCTTCTTAATGTTGAGGCTGTTCGTGAAATTGGCCTCTGGCAGCTTCTCGAGGTATCGCTGCTGATGAGCCCATCTGTTTCTTGGTGCCAGTCGGCAGCCCTGTCCTCGTGGGATTGCCGAGTTTCCTGCCTATCTGGTATGCAATGTAGTCGACGAAAGAGCTCCTTCGTGGCTGGCCACGAGCGGGACGTCCACATGTCTGATCGCACGTTGAAGAGTTACTTTGTACCCGACAGTACAATCCGTGTGTGACATGTACCCTGGATTGTTCCAGCGAGGGGGTTTGACGTGTAGGCTCGCGGTCTACAACAAGGAACAGTAAGCAGCAAGAAGCAGAACTGTAACAGTGGGAATTGGAAACTGGAATTGGCGCAGGGAACAGCAAACCCGCCGGCCGACTGCGTGCGTATGTGCGAGGAACAACAAGAGGGGGAACAAGGAGAACGGAAGGTAGGTTTGTACACATGGGACGTAATGGACATGCGGTCTGAGGGGTGTTCCATAGATACAGACCTATGTAACTATGTCCCAACGTATGCGTCGTGCAGTTTATGATCTTTTATTGTTGTAGACCGCACGTTTATGGCGACGGCGACGGCGGACGGCGACGGCGACGGCGACGGCGACGGCGACGGCAACGGCGACGGCGACGGCGACGACGACGACGACGGCGGCGACGGCGACGGCGACGGGCGACGGCGACGGCGACGGCGACGGCGAAGGCAACGGCGGCGACGGCGACGACGGCGACGACGACGACGCCGACGACGACGACGACGTTGATGGCGACGGCTATGGCGACGGCGACGGCGACGGCGACGGCGACCGCGACGGTGACGGCGACGACGACGACGACGGCGACGACGACGACGACGACGGCGGCGGCGACGACGGCGACGACGGCGACGGCGACGGCAACGGCGGCGACGGCGACGGCGACGACGACGCGCACAGGGCCGCCAGCGTCGGCGCCGTCGGGCAGCAACGACGACGACGGCGACGGCGACAACGACGACGACGACGACAACGACGACGGCCCTCCCCTCGGGTCGATCCCCCCTCCTTGTTTGTGCAGGAGGGGAGGTGGCACGCCTTGTTTCGAACCCCTCCCCCTGGACGGGGCGGGGTCCCGCCCAGTTCGAGCCCCCCCCTTTGCATTCAAGGGGGGGCTCCCCCCCGGTTCGAACCCGCCCCCCGTGGAGGCCCCGCCCCACACTGAGGGAGGCGGGTGTCCAGGAATGGACCCTCCTTGACTTCTCGAGGGGTGCTCAATGCGATGGGCCCCCCACCGTTCCAACGTTTCAAGGTTGTAAGCGTCCACGAAACGCGTTCTCTCTGAACTCACACTCCTGCATGAATAACGGTCTATTGCCATTGGCATTGAGGCTGCTGGTGGATCTGCCGTGTGTTGAACTCCTTGAGTATCCTGCCGCTCATAATGTGACCGTTGAGTTAGCTGCTCATGTGATTCGATGTCGCGTCGCTTGCCCGACATTGAGGTCCAGACGATCTCGCTTCATCCTCGCTGCCACTTGAAATGCCGCGCCTCGAAGTTGCTCTGCCATTGTTGTTGGAGCTGTTGCGTGTTCTTCTAGCTCCGTCTGCCGCCAGCACACCCTGAGCAGCTGGATGTAACGGCGCAGCGGGTACTCGCCAGCCTTTGGCCTCCATTTTGGAGGTGCGGTCTCGTTGATCGTGTGCTTGAGGCGACGCCGTAGGCCATGGTGAGGCACATGTGCCTACGATAGGTACACGTGCCCGGCTCGGTGGGTTATCTGCCGAGCAGGGTGTGAGTGTTGGTGATGAGGATGGGGGAACTTGGAGCTACAATCACGCGTATTATGAACCACGTCAGGTCGACGCCGAGCCGGAAATTGATTGCGAGGATGAGGGCGGAGAGCCGCCGGCGTGTCTCAAACGATATGTTGCCACATCAGCGCTCCCAAGTTTAGTTTTCCAGCGTAATAATGTGTTCGTCAAGCCATCGATGTTACGGATATATACAACTTCATATCCTACTATATTGTTATGAAGCCTCTTACCCCGAAGTCATGCTGAGTTCAGTTTGGAGAACGGGGGAGTGTCCGTTCTCCCCTATTGTTCCTTCTTCCCCTCCCTTGTCCCCCCCGCTTCCTTCCGCTCTCCCTTGCCCTCCCTTTCGCTCCCTCACTTATCGTCTTCCCATTCGCCTTGCCCCTCCCCTCTCTCCATCCCCTCCTTGGCAACAGTTATCTCAGAGCAGCTGCTCCTGGGATTCAGAAGGTTGGACTCCTCCCGCATGGCCTGTGGGTCCAGCCTGCCCGCGTCTGCAGTACGCTCCCTAGTCTGGGGCAGTGTGCAAGCAGCTAGGTGCCGAATTCTAGCTGGCCGAGCATCCAAAGTGACTTGCATAGGTTGGTAATTTTTGAGCGGACCAGTCTCCCCGCAAAGCTGGCGCGGTCCGCTCTTCGTCGGATGAGTTCTCGTTCTGCTCGTCAGAGCAGGACTCGTTGGACACGGCGCCTGATGAAAGCTATCCTTGCTCCGCCTTGCTCCAATGTTCTCCGCTGTGTGGCCCGCTCCTCCGCCCCATCCACCTCCCGAGCTCCCCAGAACCCCTCCCCCTCCTCATCCTCCCCCCCTCCCCTCCTCTGCCCCTCTTCCCCCCCTCCCCCCTCTGCCCCACTTCGCTACCCCACCCAGTAGACATGCTCAGGCAGGCAGGCAAGGATGGTGTTCACCCGGGAAATGGGACAGATGTTGGCCCGAGTGAGGATGAGTAGGAGGACGAGGATGTTGGGTTCGTGTGACCAGCATTGGGTCGATATGGGCGCGCGTGGTCTGGAGGGAGGGGGCATGTATGTTTTGTGATGGTGCCGAGGGCGCTCGAGCGTTGCGCATCCAGCTCGCTACTCACTCGGATGCTTCATGTTTGCTCAATCTCATTGATTGCTCACGTGTTTATCCAAGACGAGCGTCCACGAAAAGCGTTATCAGAATCTGTATATTCATCGTGTGTGTGTGTGTGGTGTGTGTGTGTGCTTCCTCGTCATGTGCTGTCAGCTGTTGTTTGCGCGGGAGGCTCACGAGCTGATCCGCCAGAGAGTGGTGCATCTCTTCGACGGGCCCGACAAGTTGCATACCACCGGGGAGGCATCATCTCATATTCAGCCCTCCATCCGAGACGTGGGGCCGTAAGACGAGGATCATCCCGCAGCAGCCTTGGATTTTCGAGTTTAGGGCACCCTGTATTGGTCTCGCGTGCTGTCTTCGGCACGCTCTGTAAGCCTACTTTCCGTTCATCGCGAGCCATCCTGGAGCCGTCACCAGGACGAAAGTGTTTGTTAGGCGCTCTTGCATCTCCCCTAGGATCCTTCTCCTCCTGCGGGGCGTCTCGCAAGGGTCTGGCATCCTGTCGCTCGCCCTCGTGTTGAGTCCGAGTGCACACGCCCCCCCATTCGGGCGGCCGCAGTAAGGCGGGATGCATACCAGCTCAGGCAAGGTCCCTGGACGACGCGCCGCTGCGCAGACGCCCTCCCCGAAGCCTGCGTACGGATTGTTAGTCTTGGGATGAGGCGGAGGAGGAGGAGAAGGAGGAGGAGGAGGAGGACAAGGGGGATGGGGAATGGGGGAGGGGCAGGGGGAGGGGCCAGTGAGGGGCGTGTGCAGGAGGAGGGGAACGATGAGGGAGGATGACCATGAAGGAATAGGACAGGAGGAACCAGGGGCGGGGGGAAAGGGGAAGAGTGATGGGGGATGGGGGAGGAGGAAGAGGCGACCAGTGTACAATCCAGACGCACGATGTTACACTACACCCTCGCGGGACGTGCCCCATCTGAAGACAACCGTCTGAGTACCCGTAATTGTGCCAAAACGCTGCCGCGATTCAACGTGATTGGTGTTTCATGACAACCCTTCATCGTACTATGATGATTCTCGTGGGACTTCAACACCGCGAATCAACGTGAACGTTGCGACTTGAGTGTCCTACGGTGTGCCATCATACCGTTCCTGGGACTTCAGCAATGCGACTTCTTGAATCCATTCAAATGCTGTAAACTGTTAAGGTGAGTGTGCGTGGCGCTAAGACGGGATCCACACTTTGAAAGTTGGCCGCCCTCCATCCTTGGATCTGTTGAATGTTCTAGGGCGATTGTGCGCGGCGCTGGTGGCGAGAGCAGCATGTTGAAAACCAGCCGCCCTCCATCCTTGAAACCGTTGCAAACTTTTCAGACGAATGTGTGTGGCGCTGTGGCTAGAACCATATTTTGGAAACTGGCCATTCTACATGTTCGCTTCACAGATTTAGGACGAATGGGCGCGGCGCCAATGCGAGAGCAGCATGAAGACCACCCTCGAAGACCACCCTCCTTCCATCCTTCAAGCTGATCGAAGTTCCAGGTTCAGGGTCATAAGTGGTGAGGACAACTCAGGCGAAACGCTCGGCACGCCCTGCCGACGCGTCTGGGGGTGCGACAGGGAGCAGGCATTCATACGGAACATGGACTGATGAGGAGGGAGGAGGAGAAGGACGAGGAGGAAGAGGGATGAGGAGGAGGAGGAGGGAGAGGAGGAGGGATGAGGAGGAGGGACGAAGAGGAGGGAGGAAGAGGAAGGAGGAGGAGGAGGAGAATAATGAGGAGAAGGAGGATGATGAGGAGGAGGAGGAGGAATGAAGAGGAGGAGGAGGAGTAGGAGGAGGAGGAGGAGGAATGAGGAATGAGGAGGAGGAGGAGGTGCAGGAGGAGCAGGAGGAGGCAGGAGGGGCCACGAGGGGATCCAAGGGTTCTGTAGTACGGATCTCGGGACATCCCCCTGTAACTCTGTTGGCTCAGTGTGCGTCTGCATCGACAGTGTCGACAGTTCGGCGCTTGGGCATTGGACCAGATCGCAGACTTATTCACGATGCAGCCGCAGCAGCGTCCAGGCACGCTCCGTGCCCAGGCCTACACCCAGCCCTTGCTCCAAACGAATGCCGCCCCCAAGGCTGCCGCCCCTAAGCGGGCCAAGCTCTCCGTGCTCTACGGGGCAGATCAGTACCTAGAAGAGCTGAAAAAGAAGTACGAGATCGACCACGAGATCGCCAGCCTCAAGGCCATCATGCCTGACGAGGGCGACCCAAACGCTGGCAAGGCCAACGAGAGTAAGGACAAGATGCTCCAGATCGAGAAGGACGATTCGAACAGGAGTAAGAAGACGGGCCGCCTTTTCCCAACCCCGAACAAGCCAGACCCGATGCCGCCCGAGCTTGCCTTTCTGTTCACCAAGATAACGCCCGAGCAGATGATGTACATGTGGAACATATTGACGCTGATATTTGTGACGCAGTGTCTGATGGTCGTGGCGTATTGTGCCGCACTTGCTGTGTTCCCAGACTGGTGGTGGAGTTGCACGGTTGCCTTTGGCGTCCCCTTTGCTTACATCGCCATTCAAAAATATTTACATCGACCATGACGTGATGCACGGAGCCACGTTCCCTCCGCACGAGTGGCAGGAGTACATCACTCACCCCTTCAGCGACTTCTTCTCGCTGCCCTGGAAAGAATTCGTTCTGGAACACAACCGCCACCACGCGAGCACGGTGGACCTTCTGCAGCAGGGCGAGTTCGGTTGGGATCCCGAGGAATTCCAGTACTGGCTGCTGGAGTGGACATGGCGCAACGGGAAGAAGCCGTTCCCAATCCACCCTTTCGGCCTTGTACTCACCGCGGCCCTCCTTCCGCTCATCCACTTCGTCGGCTTGAACGACACCGGGGCTCTCTTCGCGGTCGAATGGTATTTTCATTTCCCTGACGAAGGGGCCGGGGGTAAATGCAACAAGGAGTTCTGGAAGAAGTGGTTGCCGCGTCGCGCTTACCATTCGCTCTTCGTCGCCGGCCTGTGGGCGTGCGTATGGCTCCTGGGCACGTGGCCGCTTGGCCGCCCGCTCGGCGAAGGCTGGCGTTTCATGCTCACGGTATCTTGTTGCGCACGCTTTGGTTTTTCGGCCGCGTGGATGTTCATCACAAATTTCACCCATTCGCATCCCTGGAATCATTTCTTGGCGACCGATCCGGAGAGGGGGTGGCCCCTTCTCCATGACACGATGGCCTTCGTGCTTGGTGGCAAGCACCGTTGGAACGAGATGCTCTTCCACGACCTCCACCATGCTTTCCCAAATGCGGTGGGTACGCTGAGCCAGCGTGGCCGCTTCCATGGATGGAAGAAGGTGCACGACGCGTCTGTAGAGGTTCTGGCACGCGGGCTCTGGAAGGCGAATGGTGATGCGGAGACACAGATGCAGAAGACGCAACGCAAGCGCTCATTGCTGATGAAGCAAAGCATGAGCGAGAGTAAGAAATGATGTAGTCTATCGGTTGACTGATTCAAGACGCTTCGCGTTCCCCGCTGGCTCGCAGTCGTCCAACTGTTCTTTTCAGCGCAGCATTCATCACCATATCATTGCAGCGGCAGGTTACGTATACTGTATGCGGAGTTTTCTTGGAGGTGACAACGACTGGTTTGTGGCGCAGGGTCTGGCGTCGACAGCGAACGGTAGAATGTATGCGAGACTAGATGTAGTCGAAAGAGGTTTGGGAAACCAGTTTCGCCTTGCATTTTAGAAGAACTCCCAGTGGCCTTCATCGGCTTCCGCTGGCGCGTATGGGGTCTAACACGCCCATGGCTCACTGGGCATGCGAGATTGCTGACCGGAGCTCCCTAGCACAGTGACACCATGATCGTAGTCTCGAATGCACATTGCGTGCGGTGTACAGGCTGTATTTGAGTAGTGGATTGCGGATGCCAGTTGTGGCTCCGTCCAGCTTCAAGTGCTCATCCGCGAGGGCGAGCACATTCATGGCAGTCAGCATCGATGAGGGTCAGGATGAGTTTCTTTTCCCCAGCTCGTTCCCGAGGGCTCTCCTATCCTGTCTTCGCGCCCCCCCTACAGGAAGCTGGAGGGGGGGAGCTCCAGAAGGACGTGGGAGGGAGGAGAATTGATGATGATGATGATGATGATGATGATGATGATGATGATGGTGATGGTGATGGTGATGGCGATGGCGATGGCGATGATTCATGGTGATGATAGTGTTGGTGATGGTGATGATGATGATGATGATGATGATGATCTTGACGATGATGATGCTGATGATGACGATCTTGATGTCGGTGGTTATGCTGGTCCTGATGTTGATAATGATGCTGATGTTGATGATGATAATGACGATGATGTTGATGCTGAGTCTGACGATGATGACGATGCTCACGCTGATGATGATGATGATGATGATGATGATGATGATGATGATTGTGATTGTGTTGATGATGTTGATGATAATGTTGATGATGATGATGGTGGTGGTGCTGTTGGTGATGATGATCGTGATGGCGATAGTGATGGTTATGGTTACCGTGCTTGTGCTTGTAATGATGACGACGATGACGACGATGACGATTTTTGTGATGACGATGATGATGATGATGATGATGATGATGATGATGATCATGATCATGATGATCATGATGGTGCCTGTTGATGATGCTACTGATGATGATTATGCTGATGCTGATGCTGATGATGACGAACATGACGGCGACGACGCCGATCATGATGATGATGATGTTGATGATGATGGTGTTGATGTTGAGTATGACGATGATGGTTATACTCACGATGCTGAGGATGGTGATGATGATGACGATGCTGGTTATGCTGATGATGCTGATGATGGTGATGATGACGTCGATGATGATCATGATGCTGATGATGATGATGATGTTGATTACTATTATGATGATGATGATAATGTTGTTGATGACGATGATTATGATGGTGACGATGACGCTGATGATGGTGATGGTGACGGTGATCGTGATGCTGCTGATGTTGTGTTGATGTTGATGATGATGGTGATGACGGTGTTGGTGATGGTGATGGTGATGATGGCGATGACGACGATGACGACGATGATGATGATGATGCTGATCTTGATGATGTTGGTGATGATGATGGTGATGATGATGGTGATGGCGATCTTGATGATTGTGATGATGCTGATGATGATGACGATGATGACGATTCTGACGATGCTGATGCTGCCGATGATGATTATGATGATGACGGTGTTGATGCTGAGTCTGACGATGATGACGATGCTCACGATGATTATCATGATGATGGTGACGATGATGATGGTGATGATGATGATGATGATGGTGATGGCGATGGTGACGGTAATGGTGATGGGGATGTGGATGGGGATATTGATGATGATGATGGTGATGATGGTGATGATGATGATGATGATGTTGATGCTGATGCTGATGCTGATGCTGATGCTGATGCTGATGCTGATGATGATGATGATGATGCTGATGATGATGATGATGATGATGATGATGATGATGATGATGATGATGATGATGATGATGATGATGATGATGATGATGGGGCATACGCTGGGGCTCCCCATGGAGGCGGCATGCGAGCGCAGCCATTGGGACCTTCGGTAGGGGCTTCCTATGGGGCCACCAAACGTGTGAGAGGTGTGCCAAAGTGGTGTGACGGCGGGCATGCGAACGCAACCACTGGGTCCTTCGGTGGGGGTCCCTATGGGGCCACGAAGTGTGCGGGGGGTGCGCCAAAGTGGGGGGGTGGGTGGCGGCGTCATGCGAACGCAACCATTGGGGCCTCCGGTGGGGGCTCCTATAGGGCCCCGAAACGGGTTAGGGGTGTGTCAAAGTGGTGTGGCGGCGGGCATGCGAGCGCAGCCGCTGGGACCTTCGGTGGGGGTCGCTATGGGGCCACAAATCGTGCGAGGGGTGCACCAACGGGGTTGGCAGCGGCATGCGAACGCAACCACTGGGGCCTTCGGTGGGCCCTCCTATGAGGCAACGAGACGTGTGAGGGGTGTGCTAAAGTGGAGCGGTGGTAGAGAGGAGGGAGGCGGGGGAAGGAGGGAAGGAAGGAGGGAAGGAGGATGCGGGGCGCTGCTGGTTCAAAACTAAGACCCAACTCAACATATGATTGCCGGGAAAATGAAAGGATTTCCCAGATTCCAGATTTCTGTTCAGTTGTTTACTCGGCTGGCGCGAGCGCTCTTGGTCCCCCGCTCTCTCTTTCTCTTCTCTTCCTGGGGTTCCTCCTTCTCCCGTTCCACATCCCGCCTCTTCTCTCCTTCTCCTCGTCCTCGACAGTGTCGCCGGCCTTATTCGAAGGCTCTTCCCTTCTCATCTCCCTCATCCCTTACCCCTCTTTCCGTCTCCCTCCTCCTTCTTCCTTATCTCTCATTCACTCCTTCTCCCTGGCCCCGCTTCCCGCCTAACTAATTGGAAGACGGCCCCCACTAAGAGACATATCTTGGCGAAGGGCCCAACCATGTGCAAGTGTGAGTACCACAAGGCATGTGGAACGAATGCGGGGTGACAATGTGTGAGGGTTGTGCCGAAACGGGCGGGGCAAGGCCATGCCGGCGCTGCCACTGGAGCCTTAGATGGAGCTCCTTGTGGGGTCGCGAAACGTGTGAGGGGTGTGCCGAAATTGGCGGGCTGACGCCATGCGGGCGCTGCCACTGGGGCCTTCGGTGGAGCTCCTTGAGGGCCACGAAGCGTGTGAGGGATGTGCCGAAACGAGGCGAATGGGCTTTGCGCACCCTGGTATTTGGGCATTCGTTGGAGCTCCATTTGGGGCCACGAAACGTGTGAGAGGCGTGCGGAAGCGAGGCGGCGGGGCCATGCGAACCCTGGCATGTGGGCCTTAGTTGGAGCTCCCCAAGTGGCCACGAAGCGTGTGAGGGGTGTTGTGCCGAAACGAGGTGGCAGGGCCATGCGAACCCTAGCATTTGTGCCTTTGAGTTGGAGCTCCCTATGGGGTCACGGAGCGTGTGAGGGGTGTACCGAAATTAGGCGGTGGGGCCCTTTGCGAACCTTGGCATGTGGGCCTGAGTTGGGGCTCCCTCTGGGGCCACGAAGCGTGTGAGGGTTGTGCCGAAACGAGGTGGCGGGGCCATGCGCACCCTGGCATGTGGGCCTTTCGAGCTCCCGATGGGGTCACCGAAGGTGTCAGGAGTGTGCCGAAGAGGATATGCGGAGGGCAGAGGCATGGATGGTAAACGGGATGGCGCTACGGTCGGGGTTTGAGACCAGAGTAGGATAGAGAGGATGAGACCCAGCTCATACACGCATCCTTAGCGATACCTTCCTAGGTCCTACCTCCTCCCCAATCGTTCATGTCCTCCTTCTCCCACCGTCGCCGTCCTCCCCCCTCCCCTACCTCCTCCACCTCGGATGTCGTTCAGGCCTGATGCCCCCGTCCCCCATCCCTATCTTGATTATACTCGCCTCCACGACCGTCATTGCGAGCGAGAGGGCAGTGACACGGGCGTGACGTCCCACCGGCTCGCAGAGCGGCGCAAGCCGAGCAACACGGGGACCACCCACATGGATTTGTTGAAGGGTGATCCGCTTAGGTCTAGGTCCAGTTTGCTTAGACTGGACATCTAGTGTGCGGGTTTCATGCAGCTCGTCTGGTTGGGGGTATGTTCAAGATGTGCGGGGGCGACGTCGGCATATCTCTGCGGGATATCCATCTCTTGATTCTTCTGCACGACTTGCGCATCCTCGTTAAGCGCGCGACGGGCCTAGCCGAAAGCTGGAGAATGTCCTCCGCATGCTCGCGACTGACACCCGCTCTCGTGGGTCTCGTTCGTGAGTGGCTGAGCCTTCACCTGCCAAATTGGGCCTCAATGTGCATCGAGTCCTGTTGGGAGTGCCTCGGAATGTTCCCTGGTCAAGATGCTGACGCACAGCAGGGGGCAAACCCTGTCAACACACTCCAACACCGTCTGATCCAGCTCGGCCGCGCCCACAAGTCGATGACCCAAAGGTCCTTGACCCACATTGCTCGGATTCGGTCCAGGTTGAGCTGCAATATGAAATTTGTGGATCCGCTGAGCTCCCTTATCAGCCGGCAGGATTTCATCATTGCTAAGCTCTTCGGGTTTCCTCTCGAAGTTGTACCCTCATGGGCTGGGCGTCACATCGACCACCTGGTTTCCCCGCGTGTCCATCATGACCCGGTTTGCTCCCTCCACGTGTTTAGTATGGCTTGGTGTCATCGCCATTAAGTGGAGGATGGTGGATGAGCACTTTGGCGTTGTCTGGGTTAACGGGTCCCCCATGCACTGTTGGTGGAACCATTTTGTTCCTCATCCCGTTTGTTCGCATTGAACCTCGAGCGCGCGGCGGCCGTGCTCCCGTCGTGACATCGTCACGCGGTCATCTTGCCGCTGTCCGTCTTGTCTGTCTTTGCGGATCCCGCCGCAACGGCAACTACAGCGCCTAGTGCAAACCGCGGTTGTG